TTTAGGAAACAGGAGTCGAGTTTTTTACTTTTGTTTTCTGAGGTCTGTTGCTCACATATATGGTGAAACATTTAAATTCTATTCGACCAGTTATATATTTACAATTTTTTAAATTAGTTTTGTCTCTGTAGAAATAGTATTAATTGGGCGGGATTCTTCACATTCTTTTGTATTTTTCACTTTTTTAACCGGAATCACTACTGTCTCTTTCGAGATGTCTGAAAAAATAACAGTTTCAATTAATTTATTAATGATTGAAAGTAGATTTTCTCATATTAAATCTGAAGAATCCATGAAGGTTTTTGCATTTACAAATTATCTTTTTTATTGTTCATGATCACTAAAGAAAGTGCAAATTCCAGTTCTCTTACAGTAGTTTGTTTAAATTTAAACCATGATGCACAATTGTGGATCATATTTCATTAATATTACTTATAAAATATTCGTTGAATTTAGTAGCAAGTATTTATAATTATATATACTTCTATCTCACAGTTCTTCTCCCTTCTCAGTTTTAAAAGCAAGAATTCAACCCACCCTTCCCATTCACCCCCTCCCAAGATGCTTTTTGACCGTTTTTTAAAAAATGGTACTACATCCTGTAGGGGTATTTTTTATTTACTTTTGATGGTATAAATATTATATATAAATAAATTTTTGGAAGTGTGAGTTATAACAAAAAGTGAACACTTTCTTAAGAAAATTGTAAAGAGTTAATAAAATCTGCATTGTTTTATAATAAGTATGTATGTACGCATTAAGTTGTGTTCTTTCCGCCATCTGCTGCAAAATGTATTAGTAAGCAAAACATAAGTGTACATTCAATTTCTTGACAAAATATTTTTAGGACATAATTTATTAAAAAAATGTTATTTTATTGCATTAAGCTTTTACAAATTGGGTATTTTCAAAAAAATATGTAGAAGGGAAACTCGCTGATATTGGTAATCGCTGAAAGCGATTTCTAGGCGGTAGGTCACTGGTTCGAGTCCAGTTCGAGGAGAAAAATTTTTGAATTAATTTTTCTGCCTTTAACTCGTTCCTTTGATTACGTCATTCATCTGTTCTGCAGTTGCATGAAGAAATTTCCATTAAGTTAAATTAAAAAAGTAACTTTTTTTGAGACAAATTGCTACTGAAAAACAAGTTTAAAATAACAACACTGACATTCACACGTTTTATTCGCATGTATTATAAAATCTAAATACAAACTTAATGGGTTTTAGTAACGATGTTTTTTATGCGTATACAGTAATTGATCGCTTATTGACTTATTGATAAAGGTAATTTACCATTTTATGCGACATAACTCAAAGCCAGTTTTCAAAATAAATTACTCAAAAGATATAAGATCTCAAAAGAACTAATTATTTGTTTAATTATGTACTTTTTTGTAATTATTTCTAAGAAGTAACACTGTAATTATTTCTTAATTTAAGTTTTATCTTATTATTTATTAGAAAAAACATATCTATACGTATATTACGGGTGTGTTTTTGAGGAAAAAAAGTCAACTTGAAATATCTCACACACAGAATGGAACACAATTTCAAAACTACAGACACAATACTTGCAAGGCTTGCAATGCAAGCACACACGACTAGTTTATTATTATTTTTACAAATTTCACCATTAAAAGTAACGTCAGAAATTTAATTTATTTTCTTATTTAAAACGTATTTTGACGTTTATCACGAATAAATTTACATTAGTTTAAATATAAAAATTTAAAACTTATTATAAAAGTTTTTAAATTTTTATATTTCCTCCACCCTTGATGATTATTTACTTAAACTATTGTAATAATTATCTAATTTAATATACTATTAGAATTCATTTAAACTTTCAAATTTTATTCCTTAAGTAAATTAAAACAAAAAAAAAGAAAAGAAACGTAAATCATAATTAATTTGAATCATAATATGCTCAAGTTAAAACATTTAAAACCAGCTTGTCTCCAAACAAATGAATATGTAGATTTGTTACTTTACTTTTTAGAGACAAAAGCTACATATAAGCACTTATTTATTTGTAAGAAAGGTCTGGTACTTTTTTTCACCAGGCTGTAGATCGAAAACAAGTATATCTGCCCCCCCCCCCCCTTTGCTGGAAATTGATCAACGAATCACCCCTGAAATTATTTGCCATCCTATGCGAAACACCCTGTAATTTAATAGTAATAAAAGCAAATTTGAGAATCTGCTTGTTGACTTATGTGATTGTTCTCGCAAATGTGGGAATATGATGGCCTTTCACGATCATATTCTGCTGATTCCGAATCAATTTCATGTTACATGTGCTACAGAATTGCGTCTCGGGAATAATACCGATCCTGCTTCAAAAGAAATATTGGGTGAAATACGACCTTGGGAAATTTCGTTTGATGTAATAGAATGCAACCTTTGTGTCTTGGCTAGGCACATCAAGGTAGCCTTAATGTGGATGCCGGGACACGACGGCATAGACGCAAATGAGAAAGTTAATGGTCTCACCCGGAGGGGGGCGGTAACTCCTTTCATTGGGCTGGACCCATGCTTTATAGTGCCAAGTACAACGATCCGGCGTGCGGCAAATGGTTTGGATCGGGCCAAGGTTGATCTTTGGAGTAGTTAGAAATCTTCGACCATTTTAAGTTGAAGATCCCTAGTTCTTCCACACAGCCTCATTCAAGCCTGGGTGGCTCCATCGAATTTCCCTAAGACATTTTCATCCGATAGACGAATTGCTTTTTATGCAATGATGAGGTCTCTTCGACTTCAGAAGAAACGACGTCAATCTTATTGGTCGGTATTAATTCGGTTTAGTATCAGGACGATTACCTTTTGGAATGAATGCTAATCTTACCTTGCTCCAACTTCGTGGAATATGGCCGCAGCAATAGCTAACCCTAAATATATGTCTTAAGAGTAGTACGAGGTGTTTCAAGTTCCACTGCAACATGGCGAGATAGAAGAAGAAGCATTGCAGTTTCTTCGGCACTGTCAGTACAAGAACCATCATTCTTTCTCAGCATGCCTATGCCGTTCTTGTGATCGTTAGAAAGCTTTTTCTCTCGATGAGCCTTTTCTATGATAGCTCTCTCAGTCAAATGTTTTTTGACCTTATTGAGAAGTCGCCCCACATCCCTTTTCAATTAAACTAATCTCTCATTCCGTAGATTAACCTGCCTTTTTGTCCTTTGTGGTTTGGTCTGGCAGCTCTTTTTAAAGGATTGGTTAAGCAAGAGGCAGAGATTATTGGACACGTCGTCCAGTCTTTGAATGCCGTCGCTACATCTCCAATCTCCACCAGCCCCACCTCAAACCATCCCCGTATTTCGGTTTCTTCGGTTGACCTTTATAAATTCCCCCAGACCTTCTCACAGGCCGATAGTTGAAGACAATATCCTTAGGATTGGAAAGGCAGACAATCTCAGACATATGCCAATTTCTAATTAGAGAGGTCACAAAGGGACTACATGTTGTAAAATTTAAGACCTCCACACAAATAGCGTTTATAAAGGTCAATTCATTGCCCTTATTAGCGATATGTACATCAAAAAAGCACTTACCTCTGGGGTTCGTGTTGGTGCTTCTCCATACTGTCAAGAAATTTGTTAAACCACAATGCGGTTCTTAGTATTTCATATATTACCTTGCAAGTCCTTGATTTGCCCGCCATAGGATCATGAGAATTCGTTGCATTTTCGCCTTGTTCAAAATAGTCGCTTATGATATAGTCCATTTCCCATAACCTGTTGAGCGAAAGAAAAACGACCCAGATCGTCAGCAGGGTTCTCGTTCGGACTGCATTCTTTCCAATGATCTTCCACTGGTCGGTACGCAGTCCGGAATTCCGGGATTGTCAGATTAGCAGAAGTCACCCTTTCCGAAATGTAACAGTCGGCGTCAACTTTTGGTCCTGTACCCTGCTTTGATGGCATAACAGCCATCTATGGGGATCCTGCATCCTATTTAGTTTACGGCTAAAACACTCAGGAATTAACAGTTAACGGGATGCGTGACCGCAAATCCAACCCTGGGCACCCCATATTTCACTCACCTTTTTGCTTTCCGTTATTATTATTATTCCGTTATTTATTTTTGGCATCGGTTTTGTTCACCTGTTTCTGTTTTAGTTTCAAAGTTTGGAGAAGATATTTTGATTTTCCTTCTTTATAAAGAGATATTAAATTTCTATACCAATACTTAGGCAGACTTTAAGAATCATATTATTATCTTAAATTTATTTTTAATTGGCAGATATGTACGAGTATGTAGTTTATATTATTTACTACATTACTCTTAAGAGCAATGTAACAATTCAAATGACTCGTGTAAAACTTTTTATTAAGCCAGCTTTTATAAAAAAGCGTTCTTTAAATTTTATTACCACATAACAGAATTGATATCCCTTTTTCCAACTATGTAATCTTTTCTTTGTATTTCATTTTTTGAATTTGAGCAGCAATTGATTAATTAACTTTAGTTGCGGATTGCAGTATAACATAAAAATTGTTTGAAATGATCCCATACTTGGAGCAATTTAAATGAATAAAAGTTACCAACAGATAATGATGTCACGAATTTTCACGAATTGACCAAATGTGTGTAAATTATAAAGCTTAAAAAGTGTCAGAAAGAAACTTCCATTATTACTTTAAATATTAAAGTCAAATATATGGGTCACATTGGTTTTTTTATTATAATCTTTTGTTTTCTGAGCCTATTGTGAACAAATAGAAAATAAATGTGGAAACATATACGGACCAAAATAATTTTCATACTATAGCATTACAACAAAATCTTACTATTGCTTTTATAATATTCTATATTTTATCATTCCAACATTACTATGCGGATATTTTTACATATGTGCGTATTTCTATGCTATTCTATTAAATTTAAAATTCTATTCTATTAAATTTAAGATTAATTATTAGCATCTATAATATGGGTTATTAATATTTTAAACAATTTTTCAACTAATTTTGCAGACAATAATATAGTTTTTACTTTTAGGAATTTCAATAAGGCCATGCTTGAATCACACATAAAACATCATGTTTCACCAAATTTTGTAAATTTACAAAGTAATTTTAATTCATCATTGCAAAGCAAAGGGAATTCTAATTATGCAAATCTAATGAATGATATGCTGGCCGCCATTTTGAAGCAGCAGCTGTCCGAAAATAATAAATCAGAAAATAATATTCTTCAAGAAGCGCAAACATTCACAGCACTTAATTTAAATTTAACCGCCCTTGCATCTTTAAGCAAAACTCAACATGAAAATATTGATAGTAGAAGTGGCCATAATATAACTAAAAATGAGCACGGTGAGATCGAAGAGGCAAGTTCCGTTGGGGTCGTAACGCCTTCTGCTACAACACCAACAAACGATTCTCCTAGTCCTAATGCAACTGCTAGTACAAATCATTTATTAAATAAGAATACAAAAAATGTCAGTAATAACAAAAAAAATAACGATATTTGTAACAAAAATATAAACATGGCAAATGCAATATCAACTTCAAATGCATTGGTTAATGGTAATTCAAATTCCGGGTCTACTATAACTTCTGTAATTGGTGGTATAATTTCGGGTTCTAGTTCTTTTAAAAATAGTATATTAAGTACTCATTCTGCTATTGAACAAAATATAAATCATAAAAATTTTAATAATATATTAAATCATAGTAATAACATGGGTATTCATGGTAGTAACTCACATAATAATACAGACCAATGGCGGGGCCCAGCACCTTACCGTTGTGGTCATTGCCATCAAGTGTCAAATTGGAAGCATGTTATACAGGTATTAATGCTATCAAATAACATATTTTTAATCAAATGATACTAAATGAATTCGAAAAATATATATTTTATTTGATTACTTAAACCTTGCATTGCAATTGTATATGATATTCCGCGTTTTAATTAGATAATAAAACATGCAAACTAAAAAATTCAATTGTAATATGAAAAAATTTTTAAATCAATCTTTTCGTTTGGGTTTTAAAAAAAAAACTACTAAAAAAGTTTTCGGTGTTTATATGCCTTATATAAAAATATTCGATCTAATTGTTTGTCGGCATATAGATTTACATATACAGCATGTCTTGATTGCACTTACCGGACAAGGTGTTAAAATAAATACAGGCGAACAAACAACAAAGGAATATTTTCTTTCACCGTCTCTTTTCTTGAGCTTTAATGCCTCGAAGTTGGCCTTTTTAAAAACCATCTAATTTTTAAATTTAAGCTTATACATATTACTTTTTGCATATTCAGGGCAATGTTGTGTAACTTAAACTGCGGTAATAAATTGCATAGTATGCTAAATATTGTTAATATTTGGCGAAAAATAACGTTTTTTATGTTATACTTTATTAACAACTGCGGGTACATTCAGCTTTAGAACTTTTAAAAAATAAAAGTATGTAATATGAATGTTATGACAATTGACTCGAGCAATATGACAGACAAATCTAATTTGACATACTCATTTTAAAGCACACAAAATTCTCCTTCTAGCCAGTTATTATTGGTGTCGAAAACTTTTAATTTTAAAGATAATTGCATGTTGAAGAAATCAAAATTTTTAACAATTTAACGCATAACGGTTTTTATACGGGAAATGAAGTTTGGTATTCTAATCTTCATTTTGATATAAAAAATTCTCCAAAAATCTCAGAAATAAACCTGTGGTCGAACATTCAAGAATATCTAAAACAAAGTATTTTTAGAACAAACCAAAAAACATTTTTTTATCCTTTCGGATTAATAAATTATAAATATTCGAATCCAATTACAAAAGAATGATCCACCACGGTAAGGAGTGAAATAAATTACCAATTAGGTTATTTATAATTTTTAGCACTTTTACTTTTAGTTCCAACATATGAAAACTTATTCTCAAAAATATAAATTAATTGGAGATAATTTTGGGCTGTTTGAGGGCCACAGTATGATCTAGTATCTCAATTTTGCAATCAACTGTATGGCATATTACTATTCTAAAATGTATTCTCACTCATTCGATTTTCAAGTTCTGTCATTGATTGAAAAAAACTTTTTTGAAGTATTTTTTGACGTTTTTGCGAATTGACATGATGTTATTTTCTTTAACTCACAAGCCGGAGATAAGTCATTACCAAAACATGACTTGAATTGAAATAATAAACAGTCAAAATAAAAAAAAATTAAATTGGATCAAACCAATGGTTTGTATTGTAGCACTTCTACAAGTAAAAATACAGCTTTTAAATACAGTCTACGTACACCTACCGCACTATGAAAATTATTTTCAATCATAAATAAAACTATTTCTAGGATTGCATATATTTAGGATGAACGATTTATGCAGTATTTCAAATAAAGCAAAAATTAATTTAAAGACGGCTTAAACATAACGCTCGATTTTGAGGGTTAATTGCGTGATGTAAGAAAAATAATTATATTTTTTAACCTCATGGAATTTACCGTTGGTTTTTTGCATTTATAGAAATTTTGTAAAAGCTTTAGGTTTCGGAAATATCAAGGCCTCAAAAATTCAAATTTTACAAATTTCAAGAGGCGATAACTTGAGAGGGTGGAGAAGGAAAAAAATTTTCTTGTAACGAAATGAACTATTTTTAGTGTCTCAAAGCTGCTAAAATTTCAGGCTCCTACAACCTGGTGTCTAGAAGAAGCACGTCGTCAAAATTTTGGAAAAAACGTATTTTATATAAATTCTTGAGGGTGAGGAGATAAGTAAAAGCTTTTTTCTACGGCTTTCTATCTTCAATTTGAACTTTCTATCTTGAAAGTTTTGTAAATATGTTCACGGACAGACGGACGGACGGGCAGAGTAAAACTAATAAACACTTTTTTTCAAAAAAATTTTTGGAAAAGTGCTAAAAAGAAACTTTTTTCCAAAATTAGAAGGTTTAAGAAGCTAACTTAACACCTAATTTGAAGAAGGACCGCGCAAAAGAAATATCCTTGTTATTTTTTCTTCATGACTCCGAATATATAACTTAAAAAACTGGTATATGTACTTAATTATATATTTAAAAATAAAGAATATAATACCTAAAATTATTTTCTTGTAATTAAATCGCTGCTGATGCACACTATTTATAATCAAAATTATACTTTGTTCAAGCTTACAACAGTAAGTTCTTTCGTTGTATATACAGGGTGATTTAGTCAAGAGTATAATATTGTATATCGTTGTTTATCAAAAATGGGTAAATTTTTTGTTTGGAACTAGTTGTCAAAACTGAGCAGTTTCCGAGATACAGGGATTTTAACGAATTTTCACGAAGTTTTTTCTCGCCCAAGCTTTTTTGCTTATAACTTCCCTTCATAAAAAGATAGGGGCTTCAAATGAACTGCTTCTGAAAGAACTACTAAAGGGGGAAAGCAATATATTGCTTGATTTTGTATTTTATATACTTTCGGAATACCATGCATTCGAACTTTGGAAAGACAGAAACTATTATTAATTTTTGATCACAATAGTTACTCTAAAAAGCAGTTGACATTTTTAAAAACTCTTGTTCTGGTAAAAACAAAATTTTTAGATTTTTTTTGAAATACTATAAATTTTAGAGAAAAATCCCTATCGTTCAATTTTTTGTAACCTTTTTCTACAAATAAACTTATTCAGAGGTGCTTCGAGCTAAATTGAACCTTAGATTTCTGAACTACTCAAAGGATCAAGTGTTGTCACTATTTCTGGGCGCATTAGCTTCCTAATTGGCAAGCTCCGTATATTGAGTTGCGTCCAGCTTATTTCGCTTCTAAACAGCTCTAAACAGCTTCAGTATTTATAGCAACAAGTTCAAAAAAAGTTAAACCTTGAAAATTTCCTCTAAAATTTATGTATTTCATTGAAAATCTATAAATTCTACTTTTTTACCAAAGTAACGGTTCTTAAAAATGTCATTTGTTTTTCAAAGTAACTATTGTGGTTAAAAATTAGTAATTGTTGATTATTATAGCACATAAAGTCAATAAAATTTCAAAATAGTGACAAGTTTTTAATTTTTTATATTTTATTAGGACCCTTAAAATCTTAACAAAGAAGTGGTTTTTATGCTATATTTCCTGTACCGTAAAAGATTTTTTATCGTTGGAGGACTTGAATTAAAGATTATGAAGGTGGCTATTAAGGTGAAGATGAATATATTAAGGTGAATATATGAATATATTGCTTTCAAGCCTTTAGTAGTCCTTTCAAAAACAGTTCATTTTAGGCCCCTATCTTTTTCGGAGGGGAAGTTATAAGCAAAAGAGCTTAAGCAAAAAAAAATTTCGTGAAAATTTGTTAAAATCTCTGTATCTCGGAAATCGTTGAGTTTTGAGAACTAGTTCCAAAAAAAATTTTAGCCTTTTTTGATGCCCTAACAATAATAATTTATAATATTGTACTCTTTACTGAATCACTTTATCTATATATATATAATACAAAATGTAAAGAAAGTCTTTTCAAAATGAAAAAATTTTAAAAAATTTACTTTCAGTCTTTAATAAGTTGCATGGCATTATTTGTAATGTTTTGGAGTTGTATATGTTGTCACGGGGTGTTACACTTGTTTTTTTAAGATGGTCCTATAGATAAGCAACAATATCTAGACATTTTAAAAACGAACCTAGTAAACAAAGTCGAAAAATTTGGTCTTGTTGGTTATTATAAATTTTATTGGTATAACCGCTTGCAGCATAAATCTTACTTGGTAAGAAGCTGTTTGCTTCATGGCTGCCCAAAAGTATTCGAAACACTCCCCCAAAGCCCAGACCTCAATGCAATTGAGAATTTTTGGGCCCACTTGAAGTAAAGTTTGGCGGAAAGTATACTAAAATCCAAAAGTGACCTTATAAAACATATTATAGAAGAATTGTCCAAAATTTCGGATTAAATTGATATGGAAAGATTGACTACTTTTATGAAACGATGACTTTGATCTGTTCCAAATCTACCGGCTACCACGTAAAGTATTAAATTTAACAATTGTAGCTGCATTTTACTTTTTTGCGTAATATTAAATTTAAAAAACTAATTTTGAAAAGACTTTATTTACATTGTAATATGTCGAACTTCTTCGTTTTTGTCCCTCTTCTTTTGTGGTTTCTCCATTAGAAAATTATTTTAACGTAATTAGGTTCTATAGAGGATTAATAAACTGACATTTATAAAAAAAAATCAAAATCAATGCATGCCATGCAACTTATTAAAGACTGAAAGTAAATTTTTTAAAATTTTTTCATTTTGAAAAGACTTTCTTTACATTTTTATATTGTATTAGGTGTTTCATAAAGGTATACAAAAAGATATGCCATTGGTTACAGGATCAAAGGTGGGTAAAACTTTTGTTCCGCACTAGGTGGCAAAAATCAAGGCCTCCCGAGTTATAGGGATTTCAAGGAATTTTCATGAAATTCCTACTTATTCAAATTTTTTGCTTATAACTCTCCTTGCAAATAAAGAGGATTCAAGTAAACAGTTTTCGAGGCGCCTAGTAAAGCATTTAAAATCAACAGGGTCAAATTACTTCATTTTGTACTTTATGTACTTTCCAAATACCAAGCAGTCGAACTTAAGGAAAAATCAAATGTTTCCTTTTTTTAATGTTTTTAGTTCTCTTATAATTTCGTACGAAATTTTTCGGAACTTTGATTTTTTTTTTTACAGAATTCTGCCAAGGTGCTTAAGCCCTAAATGAAGTCCTCAAACGTTAAAAAATTTTTTATAACATAGGAGATATTGCAAAAAAACTATTTCTATCTCAAGATTTTAAGGCTCTTATAAAATATAAAAACCAAAAAATT